CAGCTGCACTAATTGCAGACTCTGTGATGGCAGATGCTAGAAAAAAAAACAAAAAATCAGGTCCAAGCCTTCCTCCAGCTGCCTGCAGCTTGGCTATTTTTCACCCATTTTCTCTTGTGGATTTAAAAAAAAAGAAGAAGAAGAAGAAGGAACCCTGCACTGCACAAACATATTAATAAACAACAGTTGTGCTGAGCCGCAGACAGGCTCCGAGCCATCAGCTCAACACAGGAAATAAAAAAGGGGCTGCACCACCTCGCAGAGGGGAGATGCCCAAGGTTCATACATTTCCTATGAAAATATCTGTGGTACCGTTTCCCCCCACTGCTTCTCCAGGCCCAGCACACAGAAGGGCCAAAGCCCAATTCACATCACCAGGCCCAAGCTCCCATCACGCAGACAGCTTCCATGAAAACAGCTGGCTGCATTCAACACGTTTTCTCTGCAGTGTAAGCAAAGAGGAACTCTGACGGCCTCTCTTACCAGAGGTGCTCTCTCTCCAGAAGGGAACAGGCCAACTGTTTCTGCACGAGCCGTAGCTCAGAGTCTTGGCCTGGTTTGTTTAAGAGGTCTGCTCTGGTACAATTACATTTTTGGTCTCAGCTGACAGATGGCTGGGCTGAGACATGGCCGCTGAGCAACTGCCAAGCCTGTCTAATGGAATCAAGGATGCTCTCCTGGAAGCACACCCCGGCTCCCTGCCATCAGATCCCAAAAGAAAACAACACCGGGCTAAAATCATTTAAACCCCCCATTTACTTGCATCTTCTCACTAATAAGTAGCCTTAGACCGGCTGCGGGAGCTTCTGCACGGGGGCGGGGGGAGGGCTTTGCTGTGTCAGATACAACAATACCATTTTCCACCCATACCCCTTACTCCAAACAGTGACCACCAGTCCCTGGAGACCCCCTGCTGTAACTAGAGCAGCAGTTGCTGGTGAACATTTAGCTGCCTATCACTGCTCAGATGAGGACTAGGAGAAACGCCTGCATTATAAACGTTCCCTACAAGACAGAGAAGCCACCTGAACTTATCAAAAATGCAGCTATTTTTGGCCTTGTCACCACTGATACCAGGTACATCTGCCAGAGGCAAGTCAGCCAGTGGTGAAGGCCTTGCTGTCATCACTACCTGCAAATACTTGCTAGCATTGCATGGACATCTCACTCATAGTCCTAGTGCATAAAAGAATTCTGCGCCTACAAACAAGTTTTTCTTAACCCTCCCCTCTCCCCATAACAGGCCCTGAGATTTGGGACAGCAGAAGAATCAGGGATCTGTGAAACAAACCCTGGGGGAAAAAGTATTTGGCTGAAAACAGACTTAAATACAGACTTTATATCAACTGGTTAAAAAAGATGGAGTCAGGCCAGAAATCATTGTCTCTACCTGGTGCAGCACATTCCTAGAGAGCAGAAGCGTTCCTGGGTGCTGTATTTTCCTGGGACAGCAAGTCTTCTGGTTGCTCGTGGTACAGCTGCAGTTCTTCTCTGAACCCCAGGAACCTTTTCTTCTCTTTACCCAAATGGAGAGAGAAACCCCATTTCTGTTGTGTTCCAGGAGCACCGTAAGCTCTCCTTGAAAACCAGCTGTAACCCCCAAAGACAGTTCAGTTCAACACTGAGGGCTAGGGGCAGCAGGAAAGAATGAGCCATCTTGTATAGCTGTGGCAGTGGCCCTAGGTGTACAGAGGTCTCGTTGCCACCTGGAAAACAAGTCAAGAGCTCCATCCCCTATCTCATTTCGCTTTACATGTCCTCAACGCTCCACTTGTAGGCGAGCTCCTGGATGGCCTTCTTGCTGGCTAGTCTAGCAAAGCGCTTCTGCTCAAATCCATTGGACCTGTAAAACAACACCCAGAACAGCACATGTGGGTGTGCAGTCTGCTTCATCAAGCCATTTCCAAGCGCATGAAACTTTCTGGCAAGGCCAGATGACTTGGGACGCCCTGCTCCTGATCCCTTCCCTGGAGTTGCCGCGCCGGTTCAGCCCGGATCTGCAGCTAACACAGCTGGTGCCATCTGCTGGCAGTACAGCGGCCTGGCAGCACAAAAGCCAGAGTGGCAGCCTGCGCCGCTCTAGCCTAGGCCCTTCCCAGGTGCCTAGTGACCAACACAAACTGCACGTTACAGATTTCCCCCCACCTGGAGATTCTCAAGTTCATCAAGCTGCACAAGAGCCAGAAGCCTCACAGCATGCAGATCACCGCATGAGGCATCTTCCATGTCTTCCTCTGGGTTATCACAGGGACAGAGGACTGGAAGGCACCCCAGATCAGCAAGCCCAACACCCTGCTACTGTGACACCTCTGCACATGGTCCCACCCTTTAAACTTATTAAGCTCCTTCTTCAGACCAGCTAGACCGTGGGAGAGTTAGGGACTTCTAGACAGCAAGCTCTACAGGGCTGAGCCTTGGTTACTACTGCTGCTGCTGCTGTGCTGGGCACTACTCAAACAGCCCCAGAAAAGCTTACCTGTCCACCCCGTCCCAACGATAGCCAGGCCATATATTAAACCTGTTAAGCGGAGGTGCTGGTCCACTGTACCTGGGTTTCTCTAGATAAAAAGAACAATAGAACCAGTTACTGTTTTAGCCAAATGAGTTATAGTCAGAAGCACTCAGAAGTATGTACACATCAGTACATGTCAACTAAAGGCAGAGCTAGAGAGACTGCTAAACAGCTCTCCCTCATTTGTGGAAGGAGCTTCCAGACACACATGCACCATCCAGTCTAGCTCTGTGGATTTCTACGTGCACTCAAACAGAAGGAAAGGTGGAGAACCTAACACAGCTAGTGCATGTCCACTTAAGGCACTGCTGTCTTTAAGCCAGCCAGGAACAGTACCCACCAGGCACCAGACTGCCCATTACAGGGAGTCTGTGCTATGTACTGACAGGTCAGTGCACTACTGGAAACCCACTAAATGCATCTCAGCACCCCAACCTTTCTTGTCCTTGCTCTCTTTTGCCTTCCTCTTTTTTATGAAGTTGGCCATGGGGTCTCCTTCTCTCTCCTGCTCCCGCAACATCTGATCCAAGTCCTGGTCATCAATATAACGAGCTAGGGGCTTCTGCATCTCCTTAATTGCATCCTCCACATTCTGCTGCTGCTGTTTGCTCTGAGCCAGGCTGGAAAAGAAACACACAAAGCCTCACATTAGAAAGCAGTCAGAAATCACCGGACACGGCTTGCCGCTTCCTCAGCACAGCCAACAGACGGCAAAGCAATCTCTCATGATCCACACCTTAGTGGGGTGCGGGAAGCTTGAAGGGATCTGCAAGAGGATGTGGAACATCTGGTAATCAGAACCATACTGCCCTTCTGTGCAGGGTCTATGGTCACTAAGAAGCCTCAAGTGGACATGCAACTGTATCACGCAAACGTGCACTACAGCACAGGGACAAGAGACACGCACTCACCCTTTGCCCCACTTGGCATATTGCTCATCTTTGCTAGCCTTCTCCTCCGCTTTCTTCTGCTGCTCAAGTCGCTCTTGGGCAAGGTCTCTCTTGCGGCCTGACTTGTCTCGGAAGACAGTTGCTGCATTCTGGGATTCATCTGAGGGCATCAGAATTTCAGGGTTACTCACTGTGGACTACTTCCAGAACCTCAGCAAGCAACATTTGGTACTGAAATGCACCTCAACCCTGCTCACTGCTGTAAGCATGCCCGCTTCACAGACATCCCCAGGCAATGACACAGCAGACACCCCAGCTTCAGCACTCAGCCCCTGAACCCCTACACAAGCTGTGGTTGTTGGCTGATCCCTCTGGCCTCAGTCCAGCCCTGCTTGTTGAAGATCTAATGAACCCATCATAGCCCACTACAGAGGCAAGTCCCAGCCACTTCTCCCTTCTGTGTTCCTTCATGGGGACAGTCCTTGGGGCCCCACCATTGATTCTTCTTTTACTTCACAAACCCTGCACCTCCACTCTCAAAGGCTGTTCAGAACATCTAGGTGCCCCCCAGGCCCAAACACACCCCACCAGGATGAGGACTGAAGCAGCATTAAGAGTCACTCTGCCAACAAAAAGGAGCTGGCAGCCTCCACACCCTTTACCTTCCAAGTGCTTGTTACTTTTATCCCGTCTCCTGAGCTCCTGCTGTTCTTGCCGCAGCAGATCAGCCGACACCAACCCAGCTTTTCCCCCGGACAGCATCTGACTAGCCTGCAAAGCAAAAAAGGATCCTCCTGAGTTACATAGGCTACCAGCTGCTGGCCAGTGAAACAAGCTGGTGCTCTCAGAGCACTTCTTAGGAGAAACGGCCATCCCATTGGCACAAAGTGGCTCCACTGCACCCAGTCTGAGCAGCACATGAGAGACCAAGTGGGCCACGACAACAGAGCTCTCCTCTCCCTGCCCTGGAGCTATGCTCATTGCTAGCTGGGGGTGAAGCACGCTGGCAGGGCAGCCTAGCAAGCCTGTATTTTGCAAGCTGGATGCTACTGGATTTCTCAAGTTTCCAGACCAGCCACCACATGAGTTTTGCAACTCAGAAGCTAAAGCCCACATCCTTACTCTCTGGCCTTCTCTTCTCTCTCTCTGGGGAGATCCTTTACAGTCCCGTCCTCGAAGAGGTGGTGAGAGGTCAGAAGGGCTCCTTGAACTGCGGTGTTTCTTCCCAGAGGCCTGACTCCTTCGGGGAGGAGACAAATCAGAATCTGAAGACTTGTCCCGAAGCCTTTTGGAAGGACCAAGACCAGGAGGGGAGTCACGATGCAAGTGGCCTGGCCTGAGATTTCTCCGTGGTGGGGAAAGGTCTGAATCAGAGTTCTGGGCACTCTTCCGTGGTGGCGAAGCATCCGAATCATGTCTCTGGAGCCTGTTAGAAGACGATGCCTGCTGGGACTTTTTACTGCCTGGAGAATAACCTGCAACAGTAGAGGGAGACTGAATTATAATCCAAGGAAAACAAACTCAGGGGCCACGTAAAAGACTAAAAAGCTGGTTCACAAGGCCCCCACTACAAAGTTGAATCAACCCGCTTGAAAATTGAACCAAGGCAAATCAAACATGCAGATGGTTACACGGGCACAGCAGTGGCTGAGCCCTGGACATTTCCCTTCTTATCAAACCACAGCCCCAGCAAGCAGGGACACCTGGGGATTCAGAAAGTTCCTTTGTTAGATAAACACGAATACTGCTAAGTACCCATCCTCTTCCAGTTAACGAGGGCAACACAACAATGCCAGTTGTGTCTACTTCCCACTAGTGCAAGGTAAAGCCCAGCTCTGCCATCAGGACAAAGGGGGTATTTTCAATCTGGGTGGCTGACAGCCACAGCAACAAGCACCAAGCAGCATATCTGCTGGCAGAGATAAGCCTCACGATCCTCCTTCCCCAGCAAACATAGTAGCACCACTGGTCTCACCTGAGCTGGGATATGAAAGCAGACAAGTTAACATATTCAAAAGACACTTTTTCCCTAGTAAAAGGCAGGGCCTAAGAGAAGAGGAAAAAAGCAAGAGAAGCAGGGCAAGCATGTTTGAACCCTCCTGCTTCTGCAGGGATTTTTTTCTTCTTACGCATGAAATAGCCTTTTCCACAGCAGCCCTGTCCAGTGACTGCTGTCATGATCTTTAGCCCTTTGCTCAACCTGATGAGCAGAACAGGACTGTGAGAACCAGCCTCACTGTTCAAAGCGCTGAAGTAGAGGGCATTTTTGTTCCTACGGTTGGGCAAGCAAACGCCCTACCACCTGTAACCTACCAGGAGTGTGAAAATGGATCCAATTCCTGTTACCCTTGCAGGTACAGGGAAACACAATCACACAGCAGTGCCTTTAAACACCAGCCTGACAGCAACCTCCTGCTCTAAGGGCAAGGAAACAGCACAGCATCTCGTGCACATGCCACACTTGCCTCTTGTGCTGCTTGGCCTTTTGGGCCCACTTGGGGACCCAGGCCTCTTCCTCTGGGGCAGCGATGTTTCTAGCTCAGACTTGTGTCGGTTCTTCCGAGGAGGTGAGAGATCTGGCGTAGCCTGGCGCCTCTGGCTCGAGGACTTCTCCAGGAAGCCAGTTTTCGGAACAGATCGTCCTCCTGGCAAGGACCCATCTGCAACTCTGTTGCCTTTTCTACCAGACACCGAATGAACTCTCTTGGGAGAATCGTGGCGGCCCCGGCGCGGTGGCGAGGGGTCGGGCGAGTCGCGGCGGCCCCGGCGCGGCGGC